GAATGAGAGAGAAAATACGCATGTGTGAATAAGGGCACACCTGAGAGAGCACTCCTTCAAAATCCTGTTATATTTAATACAAAATAATACACTGAGCAAAAAACTGCTCAGGTTGCAATTGCAGCTAGGTAGAAAAAGTTGTGTTTAGTCAAAGGAGCTGCCTTGGGGAGATGGACAGCTCTGCTGCTGCCAAAGGGCAGTCTCACCTTTGCTTCGTGCTCAGTGTGACGAGCTGGGTCTGCTGGTTGATCCAACCCAAAATCAACTTTAAGGGAAAAAATTGTCATAAAAATGGGCTGAACACATTCAAAGCTGATTCAGCTCCCTATCTGACTATATAAACACCAGGACTAATACACAGCACTATCACAGCCACTAACTCTTGCTTAGTTTTAAGAAAAATGCCCCCCATGCGACTCCTCTCAGGTCTCAAATCTTTAAGAAAAATGCCCCCCATGCGAATCCTCTCAGGTCTCAAATCTCTTAATGAACAGCACTAAATTTAACTTGAGATCTCCAGAAAAGTGAACTCTTCCACAGTAACACATACACATGGCACTGTCAACAAGTAATAGCCACAGAAATCCACACCTATATGTAAGCTACATACTTTGGAATTTGAAGGGCCTTTGTACGTTCCAGGTTAATTTTGCAAGTACCTTTCACAGGGATGACAATATTAAGAGTTTTAAGAGCACACTATCATGTAATTACTTGGTAGGGTGATTTTGTGTTATGATATATCTTGCTTCATTGCAAATACGCTTGCAGAACGCTACTACTAGTGAAACTAATAAAGCACACAAAGAGAAAGAACGCAAGCTTTTCCTTTCCAAAAACTTGCTTACAAACCAAATTCTCTTCTTCCTAAACTGCAGGAAAAGTCTTTTTATTATTTTTTATTTTTTACTCCAGATTCTCCCCTCATACAGTATACTTGAAGCATAATTCAAAGAACATATTCAAAGTCAAACTATTTCTCTATCATCTCCTATTAAGGCTTGCATTATTTTGTGTTCACTAATCCCAGACACATCTACTCATCAAGAAATGAGCAGTATAAATTCACCCCTGCTTTAGATGCTTTTTGCTCCATTGAACTACACTGAGAAAGCTTATTTTATGGGCCCCTGTCCCTGCTGTTGTGGTTTAGCACGGGTTTGAAAAGCAGGTGTATGTATATTTGTTTGCTTCTCTCCCTCTCAAATACTTCCTACAACTAAGGAATGTCTTCCTCCCTCCCCTTCTCTCCCTCAAGCAAATATTGTCAGATTTCCTTACCATTTCAAACACAAGAAGTTGGAGACACTCAAGCCAATGTGTTTTTCCCCTCTGGGGACTTGCTTAACCTATCCCCCAAATTCCTTAAATAAAAGCCTTCACCACCTCTTTGGAGCAGTTTCTTAGACAAGCTCAAGAGAACAGAGATGCAGGCTCATAGGCAACCTTCACCTTTAGTCTTTGAGCACACGTTCTCATTCTCTCTTCAGCTGCAGCTTTTCTGCATGTATTAATGCTAAGGAAAGATGAGGGAACACTGCCTAACAAGCAACGCAGCTAGAGATGCATACACGGGGGCACTGTCAAGTGCAGGAAGGAAACAGACAGATGCTTTAATCTTTCAGTTATATCCTCTGGAGATGGTTTACTGCAGCAGCAAACACTGTAAGTTGCGGTTGTCATTTTCACCTTGTCATAGAGGACTATCTCCGCAATGAAGCCTAAAAAGCTGTATTTGGTATCCTTCCTCAAAGCACCCACTAGCCACACACTGTACTGTTTCTGTTGATATGATGAGGCTGGAAAGTTCCTTACGGTCGATGCTTTGAAAAAAGTTACCACGTCAGGAGACAGATGCTCCACAACCAGCTATTTTCATTGCCTTTATGGGCTTCAAAGTTGTGTGAGTAATTCAAAACACCTATGTGAAAGATGCTCAGCTGAAAGAAAGCCCTTGAAATAAAAAAAATGGGGGAAAAAAATGAAAAAAAAAAAAGAAAAAAGAAAGAAAAAGAAAAAGAAAAAAAAAGAAAAAAGAAAAAAAAGCAAAAGTCTTCTCCAGGAAAGGAGAATCCACGCCAAAAACCCTGCTCCCCAGGGCATGAAAAACAGCTTTCAAACACTGACCTCAGGCTGGCCTGTACTTCACTGTATGAAGTGAACAGTAAAAGTTGCAATACAACTTTCACACTGCCTTTCCAGTCCCAAAATTATTGAAATGACCAAAAAAAAAATCAATAATACCTACATCCATTTTCAGAGAACACAGATGGACAAAGAAAATTCTATCTTCTCTCTCAAAGAGCGAGCCAGCAAAATAAAACCTTGGCTGTCACCAGAACTAAAAACGTACCACCCCCTCAGGAACAAAAATCAACACTGACTTTCTACAACAATCCCTTTCCTAAACCTTGGAGGGAAGTGACATTAAGAAGGTGACAAAGGGCACAGCCAGAACACAGGATTTCTTCCTCCACCTCTTAAAAGAGAACAAGGACATTTCAGATACAATATATGAACTCTGTCTAATGCATTAACGTGAAATGCTTTTCACAAAGCATTTCCAGAAACGAATCTGAGGTCAAAACTTCTGTCTACTAAGGAAATTAGAAGGAAATTGTAGGAGATAAAACACAGCTTTAGGTTCTGGCAGCCATCCAGCTTTGTTCTTTTTATTCTAATATTTTAAAGAGCAAGAAGAAAAATGTGCCTTCAGGGGCTGCCACATCCATTACTTCAGTCAAGACTATATACAGTATGTGGTACATTCTCCAGACTCCTTCATTCACCTGACAGATTACCCCTCCCACAGCATGAATTGCTTTTCAGGCTAATTTAGCCCTTTTATTAGATTTTCAACTTAAATGTTAAAAAAAGTTGATATATCAAATATTGATGAGCAAATAAAAGGTCCTGCAATGTAAAAGTAATTCTTCAGGAAGCATTTTAGGCTATCTGCAGCTATTTTATTATACATGCTTCCTTTGGTACAAGCTATCCAAATTTGCTCGCGATTTATCAAGTACAGATGATCTCTGTATAGCACCTTTCTGCAGCAAAAACAAAAAGCACATACCACATGGGCAATAAAGAGTCTCCATTTTAAGAAGAACATGCTTGTGCTGCAAGCCTTGCATACCGAAAGGAATGCAGGCCAGTAATGGCAAAGGCATCGCCGGGCCGCCTTTCCCACCACTCGCTCTCAGGGATGTAATCGTACCCCTGCCTCACGTCAAATGCATTTTCAAGGCTGCACCCAAACCTTGGATTAAAATACAGCCTTAACTGATGGTTCTGCAGAGGAAAATAATCTGAAATATCCTTATTTACTCTTTTCAGAGTATGTTTGTGTTAAAAACATCTGTGCAGTTATACATGAGGAGTAAGGTAGAGGAACAGCTTAAGTTCTGAATCCAGCGAGAGCTGAACTCCCTCTGTAAGTAAGTTAACCAAACATTCCTCAATTAACGTATTTCTTCACTTTGTGTGCGGACTGCAGAATTGCTAAACCCTCCCAGCTGAGGTGAGCAACCATTAACAATTGTCATTTCAAGAGCATATCTTATTTTCCATGGCAAATTCACTTTACTCAATAGCAATTTTAATCACTGTGTTCACTAACTGGAATCACAAGCTCTAATAACGCTGCCCCAAGGACCCCTCTGCTCAGGAGTGCGACCCAAGAAGTTAGCACTGCCTCTTACCAGGAAAGGAGCAAGGACTGCTAACACGTAACTTTCCACAATTAAACAAATTCTTACTGTTTGCTTTTAGTATCATGCATAACAGAAAAAATAAGCAAGACAGGTATGCTGTTTTTGTAAGACTTGCCCAGTTATTCACACACACCTCCCCTCTACAGAATTATTTATGCTTCTGTTCGCCGTTTAACTAACCAGTGCACACAGGAGATCCACAGCCTCTAGAACAAGTTCTTGGTGTCCAATTCGTGTAATACCCAAATCTTCAAGATCCTGGTGGGAAATCTGCAACAGCTGTTCACCATTTATCTTCTCCCGTTCAAATTTGTGGACATACTGCTGCAGGCAATCATCCAGGCCTACCAGAACACAAAAGAGAAAAAGAGACAGAGAAGGGGTGTAATAACAATTTCTCTCTTTTCTTTTCCCCCAGTCAAAACAAACAAACAAAAAACTACGCAAGGCACAAATGGCAAGTGCAAACAATATACGTAGCACCAGATTATGAATGAAATTTGCAGTCAGACTGAAGATTAGAAGTGGAAGCACAAGGGCACAGACAAAGGAGCAGGTAGGTTTTGTAAATCTTTGGGTCACCTAATCCAACGCATGACCCTTTTGCTTCTTGTGCAGCAAGCTACGCAGGGAAAGACACCTCTCCAACGCCAGCATAGGTAAAACTAGCAGGGACATAGATGGACTCAACTAATGGATTAACCCGATCCCTGCAGGCAACCAAGCCAACTAGAGACACCAGAGCAACACAAAGAAATATAACAAGGAAGGAAAAGAGCAGAGAGCTTGCCCAAAAGCTACCTACACAAAACAAGAAAACCCACAGCTCCCAATCACACCCAAGTGGGCTCAGTAATGAGAGGAAAAGAGAACAATCAGGGACAAAGTAATCAAAATTATGTTCAGTTTGGGTCTCCTTATTCCCCTGATTTATGAGACTGCGTAGCTCTCTAGATGAGGCATTCTTTCCTCTTTGCTAAGAGTTAAAGACACACATCAATGAGAAATCAAATTTAATTTTTCTAAGTATTTTTAAACTTAGAGCACTGCATCTGTCACATCAATCTCCTTGCTTTATATTGAGACTATCTGATCCTGTTTCTACAGTATTTCTCCCCCTTTTTTCTGTACCCAAGGTCTTTAAGAACACCAGAAATGAATAAAAGACAAGGAAACAGTTGTAAAATATCAAATCTAGTTATATGAATGAAATAAAATGGAGAGAAATGCTTTCTCTAAATCAGTTTAAGCAACAACCTGGATGAAAACATTTGGATGGATGTGCTATTTTAAGCATGATGGAATGGTCTTAGTGCTCTGTTCCACTTCAACATAGCATATAAATAAAACACTAGCTAGAGCAAAAGAAATATCCAGTTGAGTGGGTCAGTTTTGTACAACTACATCAAGTTCATTGCAAACAGCCAACACAAGCAAAAATTCAGATTACAAATTTGACATCTACTTTATAGCAGTCACAGAAACTGTATTGTTTGAACAATTTAATAAAGATAAACCCCATAATTGTGTAAAGGATGTTTACCCCACTACAGCAGCTAAAAGGGAAGCCATTGAGATGTGCAGGATGTTGCATTCTACAGATGAGAAGCACTAATCATATCCTGAACTAAAAGGAAAAAGAGAAACACAAGACAAGCGCCCAATACAACTTACCACGCTGCCATAGGAGCCTGAGCCTGGAAAACAAGCATTCCCGGCACAGGCTACCGCCAAGCAAACATTCAAAACAAATTAAATGTGGATTTTGGAGAGTCACATGAAACATACTCATTTCACAACAGCAACACAGTCATTACTGCCGTGTAGTAGGTAGCCACAGGAAATCTATACACTATGAACTCTCACAGACACACGCTAACACATCACCTGCCTTTACCATATTAACTAGGAAATTCCTAAGGACAGACACCCTGGCACTTTGTAGTTTGAATCATGTTAAGGGATGACTACCCAGCTGAACAAGCTCAACCCCTCCACATGCAGAGCTACGGATGTACACAGCTTGGTATTTAAGCAGAATTATGAGTATGAAAACCCATACAGAAGATCAGCACAGATTCCCAGGGCTACAGTAATTCAGGGTGCACTTTTTCTTTTCCATCTGTCTTGGCAAGTCCTCATATTTTGAAAATTGAACCCAGTGTTCTCTTTCCCACAGGCACCAAATTCTCCCTTAGGCTATACAAACTCTTTTCCCAGGAAAAATAATAAAAAGATCTGGCCTTCATTGTTTAGCAATTTATTTTTTCAAAACAAATTCTCAACTGAGGCTGACATACAGCGTACATATTTGGCATTCCCAATTTTTAACGCTGTCTAACAGACCACTGTTTCCCATCATTTGCCACTGTAAGCCCATAGTTTCCATAACAAATTGCACAAGAACATAAAATAAAATACTGTTTGGCATGCTATAAAGTTCTTATTTTAAGTTTCTTAGAATGTTTAGTTTTGCTTCTATCCCTTCTATCCCTTCGGTTTGTTGACCCAACTTGCTAGACTTTTATTCGCTGTTAAATCATCTTCAATGTATACATCCCAATCAGCATAACTGTGGCTTTTAAGCTGTGTTTTTTTATTATTATTATTTATTTATATGTCTGTTCTCGAGTACCTACCACAAGTTAAGCAACCACATCTAAAATACATTTTTCACAGGAGTCCCCAAAACAGTACTTCTGTGATCACCTTATAACACTATTTTGTAAAGTAAAATATTGCAGAACCACAAAAAAAGTCTTTATTCAAAATAGTCGAAAGGCATAGCTATTCAGATAGAACCTTATTAAGTGACCAAAGACCTAAGAAACAGGGAATGATGATGTATAAAAACCCACACACTTATGGCAAGTATTCACTAATGACTTAAGATGAGTTTACTAATATTAGTTTTGTTATTATTTTTACTAAGAGACATACGCAAAAATCTTGAACATTTTAATTGAGAGCGCCACTAGATTTATAGCCTATTGTTTAATTTTCCATCATATGAATGAAATGTTTAAGTATCTCATGTAGGCCAAAAAGACACACATTTCCGCCAGCAGGAAAAAGGAGAAGCAAGGAAAAGAGAATTAGTTCAATGAAAACAAATAATATTTAAGTACTGCTTAAAAGTCAGCATTCAAATGCCATTGGCAATTCAAACACATTGCAGACCGCCCCCCCCCCTTTTTTTTCTGTTGGCTACTTCCAAACACCTTGATTCTTTTGAGGCATTTTGCGAACTTCACAGTCTCCTGTATACTTGGCATTGCCCATCAGCAAAGTCTGGATATTTGAAAAATCTGGATGAATTAAAACCTATGTAAAGCAGTCTACGTTACTGTAAAAGACTTTCTTACATGCCAGGTCATTTCCAACACATTTCACAACACGACAGTGGTATCCAAAGGCTAGTCGATATGTATCTATCTTTTGGTAAGAAAAGAATTAAATATTTATTTGTAGGTTATACATACCGGGCAAATTAAAAACCTGCTGGAAGTCCAGCTATTTTGTGATTTATTCTGTAATAGCCTAGACCACATTCTCAATTGTGTAACCAATGATATGTCTAAGAAATAAATACAATATGTTCAGTAGTTTAACTGTTGACTTAGATGAACATAAATTAGAAGATTATTAGCATATTCAAGCCAGAAAAGAGTGCTTACTATTTCCAGGGAGGCAACACAATTAAGGGACTGACACTGGGAGGAGACACCTATACTCATCTCTTTACTCACTCAAGAGTCCTTCTTAAGTCTAAACTAACCTCTATTTTATACCATAAATGTGTTTTAAAATGCAGTTATAATGTTTAAATTGCGTGTGAAAAAGCCTTGGTCTTGTACTTAGCACATACAAGAAAGTCAGATGGAAAAGATAACATTATTCCTATTTACATAGTTAATAGAATATATGAAGGGAGATGAAAATAAAAAATAGCAATTGCAATACACTACCCAAGTTTTACAACAATATGAGCAATGACTCTGGAAGGAGGAAGAAAAAAATGTTAAGCCGATTAGAGTTATTTGTATCATGAAAACCTTTCGAGGGGCAGCAGTCTAACTTGTACAACTTTGTACAAACTGCCTTCCCAACTCTGGCAGGTGTATAGATATGCAATAGATCCTAAGAACTGTCTAGACTTCCCCGTCTAAAATAACCTCCCATCACCACCCAAAGCCTCCCAGAGGATATTCAATACCTTGTATTCATGTAAAAACATTAGGACAATCCTTATACTTAGAGGTTCACACCGATACCAATCTTGGTCTGTTTTTAAGATTAAGGAAGTTTTTGAATAAGAATTGAGGAGGAAAAAAAAATCACTTTGGGGGAGGGAATGGAAAGGAGGGGAAAGGTGGGTTTGAGTCTTAGCCATAAGTATCAGTTTACTAAGGCAGAGACAATTAAAACATTTCTACTGCTAATGAAATTCATCCATTCTTTTTCACCAATTTCTGTGCTGGCTCATTATCAGCTAATTTACCTACAATGAAGCAATAAATCCAATAATGTATTAGGTCCAAAACCAGCTGACTCACCTTCTCTGTTTTCTTTCTTCTGGTCCCACTCCTCCCTACTCTCTTTCTTGGTCTTGATCACAGTCCAACTTCCCCTCACCCCCTTCCACCTCTCCTAACAAAGGGTGGAAGGTTGAGTGGAAAAGGAGCTGGGGAAGAGAGGAGAGGTGAAAGGCAGAGGGTGACCAAGACCATTTCTACCAGTTTGGCACCTTGAACAGACTCTCAGCATTGCTCATGAAATACCCAAGTTGCTACTAGGACGTGGGATGCCTCGTGAACCAAGAAGGGACTTGTAAGGTCCAAAACCTTTGCCTCGGTATAACACCAAGTTCACAAGATCACGACACTCCACCTGAAGGGCATCATTATAAAAACGCCCTCGATCTCTTCTCTGTTGGGCATCTGAAGAGAGCAGCTGATGATCCCAGAGAGCACTAGGGAGTTGCTGTTTCCCCTGAATCAGTCGAGAAGATAGACGGGACTGTGGATAGCAGCTAACTCGGGTCTCAAAAGGCAGTCCTTGCACACACGTGCTTCAACGAACTCCCCCCAGCTTTGAAAATCATCAAATCCTTTCCATGGTTTGATAGCATCATGATACTATCATTTATATTCCACATTATTTTTTATAACTGTTACTGTGGTAGCTTCTTCCCTTTATTTCCTCCACCTATTTGCAGGATTGAAAGCAGTTAGTGCAAGAGAAAGCAGAAGGAAATCAATGCAGAAAATGAACAATAATTAATACTGAGAGTCACTTCATCCTAAGTGGATGACCCAGCACCCGAGAAGGCAAACAAAAATAA